TATTAATATTAGAATTAATATATGTCAAGATTCTAGCAAAGTATCTGGCATACATTAGGTACTGGATAAATAGATACACAAACTTGAACTACTTCACAGTTTCTCTGAAGACATTGGCGAACCTCTCCTGCAGAGAGTGGTCCCAAAGACTAGAGAAAATGACCCCATTTCCTCAGATCCACAGAGCAGGTACTCTCTGTCCTTTATGTTTCTGGCATTCTAAGCATTTCAGCCCTTCCTGAGAGACATGGCCCTTGGTCTGTGATTCACTCAGATTCACTCCATATCTCCATGCTTTGCTATGCATCTCATTTTGTAGGAATTTTTTTTTCATGTTTCCGTGTCATCCTGAGATGGAGATATTTTACATATAAACAAATAGAACCTTGATACTTAAAAAGTGCTGAATATTTTTCCCAAGTATGATTTTAATATATGCTCACTTAAGAAAAAATAGAAAATTGAGAGAAACCTAGTAAATATGAGTTATAATGCCATGAAACAGAAAATGTTCCTTCTGGGCTTATTTTTGTGTTCACACCCTCCTCCATGTGGACCTATTGATATTTACATCCATACTCATGTAGACATCTATACCCTTATACATCCTCACACTGATAAGTATATGTGATCATACCTTACATAGCATTGGGTGTCTTGCTCTTTTTTTTTTTTTTTAAAGATTTCATTGGGCAATTGGGGTAGGGAACAGACAAGGTGCCGTCTTTTTGTTCTTCAGTCTAGTTGTGGAGGACGCTGCTTCACTGGCCCATGTTGGTATTATCATTGCGCTCTTCCTGGGTGAGGCAGATCAGTCGCCAGCCCCTGGACGGCTGCTCACAGTGGCTCTTGGCAGCTCACACCGGCTGCCGGCCGCTCACACTGGCTTGCTGGCCACTCACGGTAGCTTATGGCAGCCCACTGCAGCAGGGGCTGCAGCCTATGCTGTCACCAGCGACTCGTGGCAGCCCAGCTCCAGGTCGAGCTGTTGTTCACCATCTTATCTGTAGAGGGCAGTGTCACTGGCCCTCATGTGGGATCCAAACCGGGGTCCTGCTGCTCAGAGCTGGCGTCCCAAGCCAGCTCTTAACAATGCGCCACTCGGCCGGCCTGGGTGTCTTGCTCTTTTAACATTACGTCTTTCTTCTGTTTTCCATAAGTTCTGGTAAGCATAATTTTTTATCGCTGCCTATTTGGTACATTTTTCTTTTAGAAGTCAAGAATTATGCAAGCAGATTTTATCTCCATTGACACTAGTTAGGGAGAGGAAATAGAGCTTGGAAGGCTGTTATTTACACATTTTCATTTAAATACTAAACAAATGAAGTAAACAAACTATCAGTAAGTTTCTGAAAGCTTATAATTAGAATAATGAATGAAAGCCATTTAGAATAATTGTTTCTCGTCCTGTCTTTAGGGAAAGATTTGAATATTTTTTAGAGTGATTGCTGAGTAACTTGTGTAACTCTGTTTTTAGGAGGGACCCATCAGAAAGCCAAAAGCAAGAGTAATTTCCTTCCCTCCCTTTCTAAAACATAGCGTGTTTATCCTTTCTATGGGGGCAAAGTTGAATATTTTCTGTAAAGAAAAACAACCTGAGTGATTTGGGCCAAATGGTAAATAAAACCCAAGTAAAGTAAATCAAGAAATACTTGTGGGAGAATGAACTAGATAACTTCGGTCATTCAACCATGATGACTTTTTGCTGTGTATCTGGTGGTTGACCACCAGATGTCACTATGGCCTCTTTAATCCTAATAAGCATGTTGCTGGCTGGGGGTGGGGGAAGAACAAGGCAAGAAAATCTTACAGTTTTATGCAAAACGAAAGAGGTTTTTTTTGCGTTTTTTTTTCCCCTGGCAGGCAGCCAGGCTAATAAAAAATAATTTTTTTAAACCAACACTATGAATTGAAAAGGCTTTCAAGAAACATCTGCACAGTGAAACTGTGAACTCCAAAGAAGTCCAACATCGTATTTATACTGTATAAATTAAAATGGAAAATAAAAACCCATTTGGGCCGATGTGAAAAATCTCCAAAGCAAGAGCAAAATACTTCTGAAGTCAATCCATTTTCAAAATAAAAGCATTAAATATGGAGGATACAATAGCTGACAACAATGAAACCTTGCTCAGAGAAGCTTCAAACAACCAGTTTCCAAAAACAAATGTTGTTAATTAACCAAATTTCCCTTTAGACTCAAATTTTAGGGGAAAGAAACAAATTATTTAAAAAAACTGCAAGTTCCTCTCATGTTACTTGGGTAAAATTATTTTTAGATATGGCTAGCACGGTCTGCAGGGTCCACTCTGTACGATACATCTGCAGGCCAGGTGATGAAAGCTGGTATTTATTCTGGATCATAATTCTGAAGAATTGAAAGCTCCTGAGTCATCAAAAAATTGTGTTTCTTTATTTACATGGAAGGCAAGAAAATGCCTTTAAAAAGCAGCTCTACATACAATGAATCCTTGGATTTGAACAGCCATCTGATTGCATGGCTGGTCTGTCCAGCTCCCCACCTGTATGCACATGTCCATAGGCATCCCTTCATCCACGTGGTCATAGTGTGACTGGCATACCATGTGAACCACCCAGTGTTCTCAATAGTGACTGCTAGCCTGACCAAAGTCCCTTCCGTTGGAATTTTGGATTGAGTCAGTTGAGACCCTCTCTAAATGACTTGACAGTGACATGCAAACTCGGGAACTGTTGGTCACCATATTTCCTATCCTGCTGACCAAGAACCAAAACATAGATCTGCAGGGAGACATAAGAATGCAGGGGCCAGTGAGCTGCATTGATGGAGAAGGAGATTTGGTGGCATCTAGGTGTCCACTTCCAACGTGCCCTTGAGGGCCAGAGTCATCCACTCTTGGGTTCCAAGAGAAAGCACTATATCCTCATAGTAAATAATAATTTTGTTCAACCAAACCACTATGGTGGTTGCAATTCATTTAGTATTTTGAACCAATTCCCATGGCTTATTGAGGGACCGGGAAAATAACCTAGAAAGGCCTCAAGGAATATTCCATGATCTTTGGGTGAACTGGGTGTGTACGTTAGGATTCTAAAATATCACTTCACAAAATTTGTTCCTTAATCTATTAATTCTGAAAGTGTTAAGAAAAATACTAAACTATTTCATAGTAAAATAAGTTTGGAAAAAATGTAAAATATATCTCCCTCTTACAGACTTATATAGTTCACGTTACTACATTAAAGGCTCTGACAAGTCCTGCAGTAAAGAAAGGAATCTAAATTTGTTTAGCCTAGAATTTCCCAAATTTATGTTATAATAGATTCCTTTTTTGGAGGGTTAACTCTTATTGGCAAAGTTTTAGAATGTCACTTAAAATGTTTGCTTAACTTTGCTTTAAAGCCAAACTGAGTTTGAAGTGGGCTCACCTTGGGAATTTTGATGTGAGAGGCCCTGGAAAAATCTCAGTCCCTCACGCTCCTATCTCATAGCCCTTAACCAGCCCTGCAGTTAACCAGAAGGCCAGGAAATGGCTCAGCCATGCAGTGCTGTGGGAGACAGGGCCTGGTGGCTTCTCTTGCAGCCCCTACATTTTTCAGAGTCCTGACTTTGTGACTTTATTTTATGCCTTTTTCAAAATATAATATATACAAAGAAAAGTGCATAAATCATAAGACTATAGCATGAATTGTTAAAAACTGCATCACACACTCCTGTAATCAGTACCAGATTTAAAAAAAAAAGAAAGAAAAAGAAAAACACATTACAAGCTCTTTTTCAATCACTTACTGCACAAGGGTAATGGCTATCTCACTTTACGCCTTTTCTTTCCAAAGAAATGGATACAAGGCCAGCCGAGTGGTGCGTTGGTTAAGAGTTGGCTTGGAATGCCAGCTCTGAGCAGCAGAGCCCCAGTTTGGATCCCACATGAGAGCCAGTGATGCTGCACCCTCTACAGCTAAGATGGTGAACAACAGCTTGACCTGGAGCTGGGCTGCTGTGAGTCTCCGGTGATAGCATAGGCTGCAGCCCCTGCTGCAGTGGGCTGCCGTGAGCTACCATGAATGGTTGGCAGCCAGTGTGAGCTGCTGTGAGCCGCCGTGAGCGGCCAGCCAATGGCCACGAGCAACTGCCTTAGCTGGGAAGAGCACAATGATAATACCAACATGGGACAGTGAAGCAATGTCCTCCACAACTAGACTGAAGAAAAAAAGGACAGCAACTTGTCTGTTCCCCTTCCCCGATTTCCCAATAAAATCTTAAAAAAAAAATGGATATATCTTGGAGGACATAGACAGATCCTTGATATCCTTGGATCCCTTCAGTGTCCAGAGTAGGACTTTAGTGATGGATAGTTCATTGGGCTCACCTACAAGCATGAACCACAAAAGCACAAGTGCCTATCAACTCTTGTGCAGGGTGGTGGGAGGGCCCTGGAGTCAGACTGCCTGGGTTCAGATCCCGCTTTTAGACTCTTACCTGTCAATCCTTAGGGACCTCAATTTCCTGATTTGCACTATTAGCCTGGATTATTGGTGTGGGCCCTGAATGCCATTACAAGTACTGTCTTGATAAAAAAGAGCCAGAGAGAGATTCGATGCCCATACACAGAAGAGATGGTGATGTGAAGATGAAGCAGAAAGAGAACTGAAGATGTTGGCCTTGAAGATTGGGGCGAGTCAGCCACAAACTCAGGAATGCTGGCAGCCACCTGAAACTGCAAGAGGCAGCGAACTGATTCTCCTCACAGTCCACAGAGTGAGCGTGGCTCTGCCGTCACTGTGATTTGGACCCAGTGAAACTGATTTCAGGCTCTGATCTCCATAGCTATAAAATAATAAATTTCTTCTGTTGTTTTAAGTCACCGAGTTTGGGGCGATTTATTACAGCAGGCATGGAAATCTAGTACACTTTACCATGTGATAGGCGTTGGGCAGAGAGCAATTAAGAGAAAACATCCTCCAAGGAGCCTATATTCTAATGTGGAAGAGACAGTGAACAGACACATAGATGCACAATCTAATGTCAGTATATATTTTTATACACTAAAAATAAAACAGAGTGGCAGACACCCATGGTGCTTGGGAGAATGGTAGAACATGAGATGGGCAGGGTCCTGCAGGCAGTGCAAAGTAAGGGGGTAAGGGCTTTGTATGTTCTTCTAAGTATGGCTTTAGGAATTACCAGTATATTTTGGGAGCCAGTGGGCTCCTCCTCAAGTTGTGCTCAGTGGGGCTCTGGACTGGGGTCAGTTGACAGATGTTCTTGTACTGATTTAGGCCTTAATTTACTGTGCTCTCGGGAGATTTATTTAGCCTCTTCAAATTTTAATATCCTCACCCAGGTTAGATCACCTACTTTATAAGGCTCTTTCTGTTACAACGAGAAACCAGAGCTCACAGCCCCTTCCTGAACTGGGAAGCCACAGCCAGAAACACAATGGCTCTTCTGACCATGGCGATCCTACTCCGGACCACTAGGGGGAGGCGGGCGAGGCTACCTGTGCAGAATTGAAATGTTAAGAATAAGTCTGAGGGCGTGCTGTTTAAAACAAAACAAAACAAAAAAATCCTTCGCTTACTCTCATGATCTGCCTCTAATTATACATGGGGCTAGAAAGACTCTTAATCACACACATGTCAGCTAATCCTAGGTGGCCGGGCTCCTTTTTCACCCACAAAGCAGTCCAGCTCCAAGCGAGACACTTTCAGACCAGAGAAGTGGAACGAAGAATCACTGATATAGTGTTCCAGCCCCTTCCCCTGTCAAGAGCCTCCTGGAATAGAGAAGCAGTTTGTTAACATTTCCTACCAACAGCTCTAACCCCTGATGGCTAACGCTAAGATTTGACGCAAGCGCCTTTCTAAATTCTTTCGAGAGTAATTTTATAATTGCTCCTTTCTAGTTCAGTGTTAGAGACTGGCTAACGATCCTCTTTCCCCCACATCAAAGTAGAAACAAAATAATTTGGAGTTCATGTAATGAAAACCTCAATTTCATGGGTATGAAGGCCCTTTTATGGAAAGTTATGAGGGGAGGTAAATTTTAGAAGACCTTTTAGCACATAATGTTAATGCGATATAAGGATATAATAGTAACCATTCAGAGACTTCTTTCTCTGTTTAATCTTCTAAGGTCTAAATCCAGAAGCTGCAGAAGATGGAATATCTAGAAAAAGATTCACTCATGTGTTCATTTAGTTAACTTTTTTCCTTTTTAAGTCTTTAATTTTGACATAATTTCTGACTAACAGAAAAGTTGTACACATCATGCAGAGAATTTCTGAATTTCCTTTCCCCAGATTCCAAATATTAACATTTTACCACGTTTGCTCTCTTCTCTTCTTTTTCTCCTCTCTCTCACATTATTTTCTGTACCACTTGAGAATTGTAGCAGAAATGATACCTTTCCCCTATTTACTATACATTTCCTAAAACAAGAACATTCTCTTACATAACCTCTGTACAATGATCAAAATCAAGAAATCAGCATTAAGACAATATTATTTTCTAGTCTACAGATTTTATTCAAGTTTTCCCAATTGCCATTAATATTATTTTATAGTAAAAGAAACACCCAGATGACATCCATTTCTTGGTATTGCTTTTTCTTTCTTGATATTGACATTTTTGAAAAGTACAAGCAAAATATTTGGTAGACGGTCAATGTTGGGTTTGCCTGATGTTGCTTTATGATTAGATTGAGGATGTGCATTTTTGTTAGGAACATCATAGAAATGATGCTGTGTCTTTCTCAGTACATCACATCAGGAATCACATGATGTTGATTTTGATTTGTCCCATTGCTGGTGACATTAACTTTGATCACTTGTAAGGTGGTAGTAAACATATTATAAAAGCTATAATTTATACTATGTATTAGCATATATAGTATATAAGCTAAATACTATAAGAACTAAATATAAAAGTTAAATTTAAAATAATATAATTGTGCTAGGTTCATACTTCTTAAACTCTGGTCTCAGGAATAGTTTACACTTTTAAAAATTATTGAGGGTCTCAAAGAGCTTTTATTTATTTTAGTTATATTTATTAGTATTTACTGTGTTAGAAGTTAAAACAGAAATAAAAAAATATTGACTTATTACTTTATTTAATAGTAATAATACTAAACCTGTTACATAATAACACAAATAATGTTTCATGAAAAATAACTATTTTACCAAACAAAAAAAATTAGTAAACAGAATGTCATTGTTTTACATTTTTGCAAACCTCTTTAATGTCTGGCTTAATAAAGATCAGCTGGATTCTCATATCTGATTCTGGATTCAATCTGTTGCAATATGTTTTTCAGTTGAGTATATGAAGAAAACATACATATGTAATACATATGAAAAAATGCTTATGTAATTGGAAAAGGAAGGGATATTTTAATAGCCTTTTCAGATGATTATGAATAATCTTTGGTATTATAGCAAAACTCAGTTAGCAATAGGTTCTAAAAGGTCAGTTGCAATATACAGTCTGAAACCATATAATGAACACTTTGTTCTCTGTTATGTTAAAATCCACTGATTTATCACTTACTTTGAATGGATCTTTCACCCATACATGATTTTGTAAACATCGCACACTGGTCATTTGGAAAATATTGGCTCCCCGAGTTATACATATCTTCCAAATGTTGCCACTTCTTTCTATAATAACCAAAAAAATAATAATGATCACATTTGTTAATATTACCACTGAGCTCTTCAGAAAAGTGTTTAGATATTCAGAAGCTGTAAAATGCACAGTGGTGGATACACATTTTTCAATATTTGAATCTTTACTTTAAGGCCCAAATTTTTATTATTAGCAATAAATATGGTCAGTTGTTTTCTTTGAAGTGACAGGTTTACTTTATTTATTTTGAGAAAATGTCTACTAAATTCCCAACTCTGAATAACCATAGTTTGTCAGTTGTTCTTTCAAGTAAAAATGGTGTTACATGAAAAAACCCACTAGTTCAGCTCACAACTCAGATAATTGCTCAAGTGCTTTTTGGGGACAACCACTGTCCTTCAATACACAGCAGAAGTGCTTTATGCGTGCTCCCCATTCATCACACACAATACTTATAAGAAGAGAATTCAAGAGTCAAGATATAATAAAATTAATAAATTGTACTGCTTAATCAATCAAGTTTTAAGTAAAACTTGCATTTAAAAAAAAACCAAAACCAAAAGTGCAAAACATTGAAGATTACAGTGACTAGTAGTACAGTATGGGGTTAATACTGTGATCTATGATAAGGTGCCAGTAGTTTTACACACCATGCTTTCAGAATTTGTGCAAATGTCAACATAGTGAAAAAGGCAAATAATGTCTTAATGTTAAAAAAATACTCTGACCTAAAAGGATCTTAGGGACTCCTAGTATCCAGGGACCATACTTGGAGAAGACAACGAAACACGAGCATCATACATATACATGTTCTGTCCTCCACAAACTTAACATCTAGTTGAACCAGCTGACCAGCTGACAAGAAGCAGGTTGGGGGAAGAATCTATAGGTAGAAATAAGTTATTGGTCATATTTTAGTCTTGTTTTTGGTCTTGTGTGAATGCAGGTTGGTTATGTTATAAATCTATGCTGTCCAGTATGGTGGCCACTGGCCACATAAGACTACTGATCACTTGAAATGTAACAAGACTGAATTAAGATATGCTTTAAATGTAAAATGTAAAAAAACAAGCAAACAAAAATATTTTGAAGACTTCGTATTGAAAAAAATGAAGGTAAATATTTCAGTAATGATTTCCATATTGATTATATGTTGAAGTGATAATGTTTTGGACATATTGGGCTAAATAAAATATACTATGAAAATAAATTTTAAATGGGACAGTTTCAAATTTTAAAGCTACGTATATGGCTTCCATTATGTTTCTGCTGGGCAGTACTGTTATAAATCAATATACAGATAGAATAAAATACTGATTATAAAACAGGGCCAAACATAGACCAGTGATGATAATACATTACAAACCAAGGGTTATTTTTCAACCAGTTCTGTGCATATGAGGTCAAGGGCAAAAAATTACATTTATTTGAATAGTGTGGTAAGTGTTATTTAAATCGTTTGATAAAGGTTCAGAATGCTAAGGCAGCACAGAGGAGGGGCAACTAACCCAATCTTGGAATGATCGTTCACAGGATCTCTTCCTAGAGAAGTCTCAGTTGTAATGAAAGGAAAATGAGAAAACTTTCAGATGAATTAGGTGCAAATAGGGAGGAAAGAAGAGGGTGCTCCAAGGAGAAGAAATAGAACTTGCAAAGACTCAGAGCCTGTGCTCAGAGCCCACTTGGAGAACTCCAAAATTTATAGGGGCCACTGTAATGCTGTTACATCACCATCTGCAGCTATTGACATAAAACTCTGTTTTCTCTGAGTATATAAAAGAGAAGATTTACTTTCCTGCATTTTTCAAAAGAATCATGAATTTAAAATTATATGTTCTAAAATCCAGGCAACATCCGGGCTCATACTAAGAGATAGTTTGGAATTACTCTTTAGTTTTATAGGCACACATGGGGTTTTGCTTATCCACATCTTGCCAAAAATGTGACCTTTCGCATCCAGGATAGTAAAAACCTGACTCCATAATACATGGAGCTGCACATGGCTCTCAGCAAGAAGGAAAGTAAAAAAAATAAAAGTCTGCAAAGACATAAAAATGATATTATGGTTAATTCTTGCAATGTCATCACATCAATATTATGGTTAATGCCATCGAGCAGTAGGATCCCAGAGGGTCAGGACCTTGAAAATTAGCAATCTTCCAGCCCAATTGCTACCATGTCAGTTGAGAGAACAGGCCCCGGTGAATAGTGGAGACAGGACTTAAACTAGTTGTTGGATCTCTAACTTGACCTCTCCCCTCCTCCTGAGGTGAAAATGTGTCTGAAGTCCTCAATCTTTCAACAAACTAGAAACTAAAACATCTTCAGTATGAAAATAACCTATTCAAACCCTAACCCAACTACCTGAGCTCCCCAATTTAACTTCATATCCATCTCACTTAGGCAGGCCCCCCACAAACATGGTCCTAATTCTCTGTGCTTATCTATTTATGGTCCACTGGACTGTAGGTCCTATGAGAACTGGGGCCTCATCTGCCTTGTTTGTGCCTGTAGACTCAGTGCCGGGAACAATGTCTGGCACACAGGGGTTACTCAAAAAGTAGGGTTGCTGGTGTACATGTTGTTTTGCTCACCCCATCTTTCTTGACTGGTGACCTACCCAGAAATTCTCTTATTGAGCAGCGTTGAGAATGATAATGCGATAATGATAATGAGCATCTTAACCTAGATGCTCTCTGTTCCCCAGGAGACTAAAAGAGGACAAGACTTAGCAAATGGCCTTCAGTAATTAAGCTCCCCGCTACGCTGGAAGAGCAGGAGCTGGGAATAAGAATCATTCCATAGCTCTCCCAGCATCTCCTCTCAGCCTCAAAATAACTTCCATGGACTCAGTGCCTCCTCCGTGCTGTGTTGGATACGTCATAAACATCACTTCTAGACCCTACAACTATCCTACAAGATGGCGATTATTAATATTGTCATTGTTTCCATTTACAAAGGAGGAAACTGAAACCACTGACCCAAGTCTGTGCTGTTAGTAAAATGGACTTAGCTGGGATTTGAATCCTACTGATTTCACCCCGGAGTCTGGCCTTCCTCTTCCATCCACAGGTAACCGGGTCTCAGGTTCTGGAATGCTGGCAGCTGGAGGAGGAGAATCAGTGTCTTTGGGGCACCTGAAAGAAAGTGAAAGTGAAGAACAAGTAGCATCAGCGGCCTTTAATGTTTTCTGAGCACATGCCGTGGGCCTACCCTACCAAACATGTTACTGGTGCATCTCAATTACCTGTGGATATGATTTTTATGAAGACTAGGATCTCAGGCTTGGAGAAGTCACAAACTTTGTAATTTTGTGCCAGGCCTTGGAGCAAGTGAGTGGCAGAGTCAGAGTTCAGACTGAAGGCTATATGCAGTTGTCATTTTGATAGATCGTTCCATATTGCCTTCCAAGGGGCTTGGACCCTTTATCATCCCCACCAGCCATGGACCGAAGTGCCTGTTTCACCATGGCCGTACTCACACAGTGCAATGTCATAATGCCCATGCCCTCAACCACTGCACCATACTGTCTCCCAAGGACAAATTCGTTTGAAAGCTGCGTGAGTCCAAGGAAAACTAAATTGCAAAAGAAATGGTCAGAGACTTGACCTAAGTCTTATAAACCGGAAGGTACTTGACAATTATATTACATGGAAACAGTATAAAAAATATTTATGTCAATAATTGAGTTGCCATTATGGAAAGCCTGGGCTTTTAAACTGTCCCCTTCCTCTGTAGAGAGAGGAAGGTGGTTGAATTCCAGGAAATGCCACTGGATTCTGAACACAGACAGGAAACATGCTGTCTTCTCAGTGATGAGGAGGAAGAACTTCTGGTCTGGGCTTCCAAAAGGCCTCTGCACTTACATGGGATAAAATCACCCTTTCTAGTCCCAACTCTGGTGAGCTGGTTGCATACAAATTTCTGGGAGCTTATCAAAAAGGAATAGGCAGGACCCGTCTTCTCCAATGGGCTGCAGACTCCACAGGAGCTCAAGATGAGGATACGCAGTGCTCATTGGCTTCCAAATTAATGCACTGAGCTGGTAATGTAATCCTGGGTGACTTTGTTTTTTTCTTAATTCTTTTGGAGATATTTTACAGATTTTTAATAGGGAGCATACATTACTTTTACAAGCAGGAAAAGTTAATGAAGTTTATTAAAACAATTCTTCTTTCCTTCCTTTCTTTTTTTTTCCCCTCCAAAATAATTTTTTCAAAACATGCCAGCGGCCATCTACATGGTGAGATTCAAGGGCCCCAGGAAGTTCCTGGCTACCTCAAGCCCTTCCATCAGCCTTGCAGCTCCTGAGAACTTTGGAGATGCAAATTCTGTCTCAGATGGACACACTTCCCTTTCTATCTGTTCCTTCCTAAATCTGACTGCAGCAATCAGCTCCTTAGTGAGGTATGCAGGTTCAGTAGGGATGTGAGGGGAGAAGGCAGAGACACCATAGGCCTAAAGGAAAAGGGGGCCCAGGGAGGCAGGATAGAGGTGGATAGAGGTGATGGCATGAATGGGAGATAAAAGCAAGTGATGTGGCACCAAGGACATTCTTCTCTGATTTATGATTTCTCCAGATTGTCTGCAGCTAGCCCTACACATCACAAATTGAAAAGACTCCAGAAGAGAAAAATCTTGATTACAAATGGATTCGTGAACCCTCACTGCTGGTGAGACTGAAAATCAGTTCAACCTGGATGGAAGTTTGGAAACACCGGTGAAGATCCTAACTATGTAAATCTATTCTTAGGAATTTACCCTGAGAACATAACTTGAAATATGAAAAAATGTTGTTTACTGAAAGATAATAATAGCATTATTAATTAATCTGGAAAATAAGACATAACTTAAATGTCCAATCACAGAAAACTAGTTATAAAAATTAGGGTATATATACACAATGCAATATTATACAGGCATTAAAAAATTCAAGTTATAATTTTAAATGGGAAGCAATGTGCAAAAGTGATTAACTGTATGATTAAAATTATGCAAAAATATGCATAGAAACAAGACTAAGGAAAAATACTAAAATGTTAAATGTTAGTCTTTGGGTGGTTGGGGTTATGAGAAATTTCATATTTTTTCCTTCTAATTTTCTATAAGTATGACTTTTAGTTTTATTTTTCGTTTATTTTTAATTAAATCTTTTTTTAAAAGATTTTATTGGGGAATTGGGGAAGGGGACAGACAAGTTGCTGTCCTATTGTTCTTCAGTCTAGTTGTGGAAGATGTTGCTTCACTGGCCCATGTTGGTATTATCATTGCTCTCTTCCTGGGTGAGGCAGTCACTCACGGCGACTCACGGCAGCTCACAGCAGCTAACGGCTGCTCACGCCAGCAGCCGGCCAGCCCCACTGCAGCCTATGCCATCTCCAGCGACTCACCGCAGCCCAGCTCCAGGTTGAGCTGTTGTTTACCATCTTACCTGTAGAGGGCGCAGCGTCACTGGCCCGCATGTGGGATCCAAACCGGGCCCTGCTGCTCAGAGCTGGTGTCCCAAGCCAACTCTAAAGTGACGCACCACTCGCAGGCAGGCCCTGAGTATGACTATTTTAAAATTTAGAAATACTTATCTAAAAACATTATTGGTAAACTAAGGATTTAGCATGTATGTACAGTATTAATTGTACTTCAATGTATTACATAATTCATACAACTCTGTATGTGTAAAAGTGGGCTAATTTCTGCACCACCAGCGAACCAGTGAAAGACTGACCTAGAGTTCAGTATATAATCATTGAAGTCAGAAATGCTTCAAGGGGTCTTAAAGGAAGTATTTTAGATAACTGAAGATTCATTTTAATCAGTAAAATTTGGAAATAATCAATAATAGATTCAATAAAGTCTTTAATTTTTTCTTTCCTACTAAGTAGGTTAAACAAACTTATAAATTTCATTTATGCTGTTTCTTTGCTTGGCAAAATATACCCTCATGAACCCCCTTGGTCATTTACAGGCTGGACCAGACTGGCCCTATCTGGATAAACAAAATTAGTAAGGTTTTATTGTTCA